AAAGTCATTTCACATAATACGTACATTTGTATGCAGTTATAAGAAAATATTTTGGATTTTTTTTTATTTTCAATAGCACACGCCATACCAATAATGCTTGCGTTAGATCAAGTTAAATAAATCTCTTTTCTGTGAAAATCCTACATACATATTTAATTTCATTGTTAGCTTATTTTTAGTTTCGATTTGAAAATTACATATAAGATCCTATAAAAATATCAATTTTTTTAAATTGGAACAGGATCTTGTGTTTGTAGAATTTGATTAGGCACTTTCCCATCGGCGATTATCATCAGACAAGTGATCACCTTCTATATTAATTCTTATGTCCAACAAATTGTCTAATTTCTGAAAATTAAAAAAAGAAATAACTTGGTAATTAAAGAAGGGTTTTTTATAGACTTGAAATCATTGAGTATATATACTTTGTACAAATATATAGAAATATGCGTTTTTGATATTATATAAAAGAAAATATTTAAAAATATTTTTACTGAAATTTCTCGTAGGTTACTGTGACGTAATTTTTATTTTTTTTTTTTATTTTCCACAATCAATAATCAAACTTGATGTCCTTAAATAAAATTTATGTCTTATATCAATAGTATAATCTATATGGGTATATGTATATAATATATTATGTAAATAATATTTATATATGGGATATAATAGATTTGAATTGAGTTTTGTTTGCGTAGGTCTTAAAATGTTTATATTTTGTAGATATTATTAATAAAATTTTAAAATAGATTTTTATTTTTGTTTTTATTTTATAGTTTAGCTTCATTACTTGAATTGTTGATATTTTTGATATTTTTCTATGTAGAATATAAAATTTAAATACAGAATTAAATTAATTGTTTATCTAGTCTAGTATATAGCAGAGTATCAGTCTAGTATAGCAGTGTAGTATAAAGTGTATATAACGTAGTCTATTATTGGTGTATTATAAGATAATTTTATACTAAATATTATTAAGTGACATTCTGATAATGCAGTGTTTAGAGGCCGATTGATCATGTTGAATCTTTATGCCGTTTACTCGTACCAGTTTACTCATGTGAATGGATTGTCCTCTTTACTTTTATTAAATATGTCTTCATTGAAATCACGCAAATTATACATAATAAAAGTTGAAGGTGATTAGACTTCTGTTTTGAGGTGAACCGTTGTTTCTGTGGTACAATATCGTGGACTTATACCTTTCGGCAATGTCGTTTGATCGTAAAATAAAAGAATGTATCATATTTCGTGGACGTGGTTTTCATTATTTAGATTTTAATACATTTTGATTTCAACGAAAATTTTGCATAAATGATTATAAATTAACACAAAATATAAAGAAGCACAGAATTTTTTTCTTCTCTGTTAAAGGGACGAAAATGTAAAACGAATTGAAAGTCCCTGACCTTGTAAAATTTACAATGCATTTTCTTAAGTATTTTAAAAATAAAAATATTGCACATATACTTAAACAATACACTTATACTATATAGTTACAATATCACATATTTACATTTTAAAAGCTTTATTTTATTTTAAAGAAAATCCCCTAACAATACAAATTTTAACATATATTTTAACATACTTACATTTCACATAGTACATTTGCTTTTTTTTCACTTTTTTTTTATTTGTGATTTTTATTTTTTTCTTTCTTCATTATTCACAACAATTTTGTCCTGATGGAAATAATAATTTCCACATCAACACATGACATTGGCCTTCGTTCAATGAACAACAACAATAACAAAAAAAAAATTAACAACAGCAAATTCCAAATAAAAAATAAATGCAAATAAACAAAAAGAAAACAAAAAGAAAATTAAAAAGGGAAAAAATTTTTCATTCAATAAAATGAAAAAACAACAACAAAAAAAAAAAGAATTGAATCAGTCACAGAGATGACAAAATTATTGTATTGATACCATCCTGTCTGCCTGCCAATTTGACGTTCCATTGGAATTCTTTTAAAAAATTGGAAAATGACGTTTTCTTAAAAGGTAATTTAGTATAAAATTTTTAAATAAAAGGGAAATTTTCTCTTTTGGAAAATGTGTAATTTTTCTAAATGGAAAAGAGAAAATTTTTTGTTTTTATATGAAAGCTTCCATAGGTATTTGTTATTGTTATATCAGGCACCTCTTACACATCTACATACATACATTTGTATACACATATACAAAGAGGGAAAAAATTCATTTAAAATTTTGTATTTTGTCAACTTTAAAAATATTGACAAAACACAAAATTCATTCATTCGGATGCCAAAATAAACAGCAAACGGCAAAAAAAAAATAAACCTTTGATATGGCACACATTTTTGCAATATCGTCAGCATCTTTCGTTTTTTTTTTCTCTTTCTTGTTTAGTGTGCTAATAGCATTGTTTATTTGCACTTTATTTGTATGTGTTATTCAACTTAATATAATATTGTTGTTTTGCTTTTTATTTTGGAAAAAAAAAATCCCAAAATAGGAAAATACATACATATAGAGGAGGGAATAGCAAAGAAAATATATTAAAAAAAAAAAACAGAAAAAAAAGAACAGGACAAAAATATACAAAATAAAAAAAAAAAGAAAATATTATACACGTAGAATAACGGAAAACTGTAAAAGTAAAACCAGAAAATTTATTTGAAATAATAAACTTGATGAAAAAATTTATTCATCAGTTTTCCTCTGGCAATCATTCATTACGGTCAATTTTACGGAATATTTAAAATTTCATATATATATAGATATTATAATTTATGTATGTATATATAATATATAATAATTATTTAAATATATACATACATACATACTATATAAATATGCATACATAATAATCTGTATTTAGAATAAATTCAATATTAAAGTATAACTGTAATTTATACACAAATTAGGAAACAATGTGTTATACTATAATTATTAAATTGTAAACTAAGTGCATAAAAATAAAAAAAAAAATTAAAATTAAAAAATAAAAGTTAAAAAAAAAAGAAATTATGAATTTTTGTGGTCCTAATTAAAATCCTCTTTGGGAATTTCATAACAAGTCTATTAATTAAAAATTTCTAAAAAAAAAAAATATACAAAATAAAATAATTAATCTATAGAATTTATAAAAAATTAAATTAACAATAAAAAGAGAATAAAAATAATGGTTTTAAATAATAATAAATAACGGTAAATAATTTTTTAACAAAATACACTAATAAATCTGTTATAATAGTAACAATACCCCCCCTCCCTTATTGTATACAATTAGTTTGCTTATAACTACTTTAGTTTTTATATATTTTGTTTTGAAAAAATATGAACCAATAAATTATCTTAATTATTTTAAGTACGCGTCTCTGTATAATTTAAGCATATTATTTAACAGACTTGATGTAATTGTAATATACTCAGATATATGTATGTAGGTATATCAATTAATATTATTTTATTAATTATAATTATATTTACTTTGCTTATTGAATATTATCAGTAAATGTAATTAAATAATTAATATATTATTATTTGTAATATTAAATACTAAATATAAATGTAGTACCTATGTATAGATATCATTAAATATTATACAAATTTATAATTTTTAAGCTAAGAATTATTATGTAAAATTAATTAAATTTTTAAATAAATTCAGCATTGTCGTAAAATTATTCGGAAATCAAACTATATGTACATATAAAAAATTTAAATATTTACGTATATTCACATAAGAAATTATAGACCAAGTATAGTTAGTGCTATATATATCATATATTTCCATATTTTATTACTTTAATTAATTTCTCATAATATTGTAATGGAATTCGTGAAAAATTAATTTAATGGAAACCATTTTTATTTTCAAAAATTAAATTGCAACCTTCAACTTAATTTATTCGAAATACTTTTTTTTCGACACTTATACAATATTTTCCTTAAAGACACAGTCTTTAATAAATTTATGTATGTATTTATGTGCATAGCTATCTGGTAAACGATTTTTCAATTCAAAATTAGCGTTTTTCTTTTTGTTGTTTACATTTTCATCTGAATAATTAAGTTATTTAAAATTATTTTAAAAACGGCAACTAATTAAAAATAAATAAATAATATTATTTGTAGTAAATATAATATTATATATACATATAATATATATATATATGAAGAATGCATATATAAAATATTATGTATGAGGTTGTTGTTATTTTTTCTCAGATAATTTTAATAGCTCTGCAAGTATAACATAGTTAAGTACATATTTAACTATTAAATTTGTAAAAATTTAAATTTATTTTGTCAGAGACATTTGGCAACACTAATGTAGTTGTCGATAAAACTAATTTTTGTAGCCATTCTTAAAAATTTATTTTCTTTTTTTGTTTGCTAAACTGATAAGTGCATATCTGCATTATTGCAGTGCATTTTTGATTTTCACAAGGAATAGAATGTGATTATTAAAAAATATTATTTTATTGAGTAAAAACAGTATGTATGTATGTATACATAAAATTTTTAGTTACAATCTTACAAGTAATAATGATTCTGTAAATATTCAGCGAACACAACAAAGTAGGTTTATCTAAACTGTCTGCTTATTAAATAATTTTTAAGTAATTTCCCTTTGCTTTAAAAAATAAAGAACAAAAGTTTTTTCATTAAAATTATGTTTTAAAAAAAAAATAATAATTCATATTGAATAATTAATTATTATTACTTATTATTAATTTTCATTATTAATTTTCAATTTATTTTCTCTTCAAATATTTTAATAAATTTTAATTAAGTGAAATAATCCCAGGTTTGATGATCATTTGCTATACGCGCGAATATTATATAATTTAAATACTACACTTCTATATTAATTATTTAATTTTTATAATAGAAAATATTATATTACTTTTAGTATTATGTTGAAATTAGATGAATAATAATTTATTAAATGAATAGTATTTAAAATAGTTGAGCATAGAATTAGTAGGTTTTTATTAAGAAATGTTAAATCTTTAGGTACACTACTTTTATTAAATACGTTTACTGTAAACAACTTTTGAGCATTTCGCGTTATGCAGGGCAGTTATATTTTGTGAGAAAATGTAAGACCCTATATAATATTTGAGTACGTCGCAGATTTGAGGTATTGGCACCAATTATCTGTTACTTGTACGTGTCAATATTAACTTTTTGAGTGTACACATGTTCCACTTTTGTCCAGCAATATTTTAAAAATGAAATCGTTTGTAAATTATCTAATTAGTTTACTTTCAACTCTCAAGCGTGAATGGCAAAAAATTTGAGAATATAAGAAACTGTAAGTGTTTTTATTATACAGACATACTTATTTAAAAATAAAAAATTTAGGCCCTTTTTTTGCAAATTTAAGGGCAAGAGACAAAAGTGGTACATGTTTGCATTCAACGTCCCTAAAAAATAAGTGTGCACTCAAAGGTTATATTAAACCATGACCATAATAACTACGTTTATATAAAAAGCTTTCAATAAATTCTCAACAATAACTTAAAAATTAATTCCACATTTCCAATATCATTCCGCCATTAACCAATTCAATAAGGCGGTCGGTCGGTCATATGCTGTTCACATCAAATTATTTCTTTAATTGATTTATTTGTCTTATTTAATTTTCAAATATTCCAAATTGTGTGAAACCATATAGACAAACAAAAAGAAACTCAAAAAAAAAAAAACAAAAAATAACAAATGGAAAATATTGAAATTTTTTTTTTTTTGTAAAATATAAAAATTTAGTGTTTCAAAATATGAGTACAAAAATATAATGAAAAATATACAAAAAAAAAAGAAAGGAAAAATATGAATAAATAAATAAATAAAAAAAAATGCTTTATGATGAATTATTTTCCCATTAATATTCACACAGAAAAAAAAAAATTATTAATAATGTTTAAAAAATACATTTTTTTTTGTGTTTGTTTTTTAAAGTAAATAAATAATTAAAAAAAAAAAAATTTAAAAGAAAATTGTCAGCTGGCTGTTAAACTCATGTTATTCTTCGTTCTCCTCGTTGCTCTTTGCCCCATTTCTCTTCATTAAAAAAAAAACGAATAGAAATTACTAAAAAAAAATTAAATATTTAAAAAAAGAAAGAAAAAAATTGATTCTTTCATCTGTGAATGAAAATGTGAAAAGTGATTTTTATAATTATTCTAAAATCTACATACAAACAAACATAAAATAAGGTGTACAAAAAACACAAATTAAATGCAAATTGGAAAAAAAAATAATAATTTTTAAAGACAGGTAGGTATTTTTCAAAATTTTTTATTTTTTTTTCAGTATTTTTAATTTAATATTAAGTTTTTGTTATGATTATGCCAAAAAAAGTTTGAAGTTTTATAAAATTTTGACAGTATAAACGTCAGATAATAGGTTGTCAAATGATTTTCTTTGTCTTCCCAAAAAACTAGCCGAAGTCTGCAAATAATTTTGTCTTTTAAATTCATAGTGTTACAAAATTTTTTTCGGTATTATAAAATTTTATAAATTTATTTTAGAAAAAAATTTGACATTTTTACTGATCGTACAAAGAAGGTATTGTGATGGTAAATTTCGTATGTTGAGATATGTTGAACTTTCATTTGAAAAATGTCGATTTATCGGTGTGTGTACACGCGTTATCTTAATTTTGGCTGAAATGATTTTGTTGAAAATTCATTTCTGACCATATTTTCGGCATTTGGCGACATTGTAATATCCATTTTGTTATACAGTCAACATTTGATTATAAATGCAGTCTATATTAAGCTTTTAACTTATAATATAGAATAAAACGTATATAGAGAGTACTTCGCCATCGAATACACCTTTATGCATGTTTAAAAATATTAACGCAAAGTAGAATTACAATTATGATGGAATTTTCTTTCATCTCTACATGAGCAGAAAGTGTTGTAAAATTACTTTACAAATATTCTATTTTTAAATTTATTAAAATTGTTTTAAATTTTTACTACATAATAACAATAAATTTAAATAATAAGTTTTGAATTGTTTTGAAAGTTTGCCAGTAACTTGATATAAATGTGGAAAAAAATTATAAAAAATTAAGAAAAACTTTGTAACAATCTTTTAATATTTTTAATTTTTAAGTTTGTGGAAGTAGGTATGCATAACTAAAATAGACCGAATAGCTGTTGCTTATTTGCATAATATAAGTATAGCAATTTCAATTATTTAAGAAAAAATGTAAAATTTCTTGTGGTGGGGAAAGAAAAAGTTTGATAGATACATAGATAAATTGAATAAAGCAGTTTAGAAACCAAGTTGCGTATATGCTAGGGATTTATAAGGTAGGTTTAAAACAAAAGACATAGTAAATTTTCTTTTCTAAGATGTTGAATGAAATCTATAAGTACATACTCGTACATACGTACACATATATTAATATTTACATGTCCAAGTAGTAAAATCTTAAAGTAAAATCCCCACAATAATTGAGGTCATCTGATTTTTATTCATTTGATGAATTCATCAAGAACAAAAAGAAAAATAAATCGTAAAAGTTATTTTAAGTAAATCCGATATGATTTCTTGGCAACCCATATTTATTTACTTCAGTGTTTACTTCTAAGTACTTATGTTTACAAAATGGACATTTGATTGATGAAAACTTAAAATTTAATTTAAAATAAAATCCATGATAATAAAATGTAATATTTCTATTATGAAATATTAGGAAACGTCCAAACACTTGACATTTTCTCATTGATTATATTGATTTTTGTAAAAATTTAAAGATGTTTAAATTGAAAATTGCCAATATAATAATAAGAATAATTGTGTACATATGTATGAAAACAAAATTAATCTAAAGAACATAATTTATCTTGCTTCACTGTATTGGTACGAAGATGATTATGAAGATCAGACGCATAGATAGCTATAATGTAACAGTTAAAGTAGATGACTAATTCTTGTAGATTCGTTGCTTCAATACCCCGAATTAAAATGATAAATTTCAATGAAATTTGTTGATTATTTCTCATTAGATTCGTAAAAAAGTAAAACCAGCCCGCTGAAAGGTCCAGTTCCGGATACTTGAGGTACTTCAGTCAATCATGAATTTTTTTTTTTCGATCCGAGGAAATTATTAACAGAGAACTCAGTGGCCGCTTACCGGCGTGCGGGTTGAAATACTGCGCCACTTTAAGTTCACCAAAACCTTCGTTCGCTGTTTAAAGTCATTAGACATTAATATAAATTTTGCCGAAAACTTTGTTTTTTTGTTTTTAAAGAACCTTATGATCTACCAAAATTCCGTTGGAAATATTTGATAGGTAATAGTTGTTATTTTAACACAGTTCAAAGGGTTTCGCTCGTTTGAGTCGTTTAACAAAATTTTGATCGTCAGCTAAATGTGCCATCTCTTTGTTGGTGTGTTTTGAAAGACGAATTTAATGGTAATCAGTATTTTAGTACCAGGGGTACTTTCGTAAGGTAGAAACATTTGAATAGTTTGAATATGAAGTTGTTTTGCACGACCCCATATCTGAATACCGTAAGCCCAGACCGGCTTAAATATTTGATTATAGATCAAAAATTTTGTTGTGCGTGGAGGGCGAAGAGTTTAGTTCCAGTTCAGCCCTCTTTTTCTTGACATGCTCTTTCGATCTCAATTTTGCATCTAGTATCATTCTTAGATATTTGGCTGAATTTTCATGTGGAATAGTAACATCATTTATTGAAACCCGGGTAGGTGTTTCTATTTTTTTGTTAGTAAAATTGACGTGTGAAGATTTGGATTCATTTCATTTGGTTTTTGCGCCACATCAAGAAACAATGAGGAACAAGTACATTTTCCTTCTAGAGCTTTTTCAATAATATCCGTTATTCGATTAACATGTTCTATCGTTGAGTGTTGCTTTCTGAACCCGAACTGATACGCTGGAATTAAACTGCCATTTTCAATTAAAGGTTGCTATATCTTCTTAGGAGTAGTTCTTCAAACAACTTCAAAATAACTGCAAACAACTGTATCAGCTACTTTCCAAGTTGCTGGAAACTTGAACAGCTTGACTACAGCATTCATTATTTTAGTTAGGAATGATATCGCTTTTTTAGGTAATTGCTTTAATATTTCGGCGGAGATTATCCATGACATATCCAAAATAAATTTACATATAAATATTTGGTATCATTACATGACTTCCTATGTTGCATGCTATGTGGTAAATAAATATGAATAAGTAAGTCTTGATTATTTATTACACTTATACGAGTATTTCATTTTAAAACGAACTCATTCTCTCATAGGTTGGCCAATTATTTTGACTGTAAATAATATTAATGCTGTTGATGGCGCTGGACTTTTTGCAAATAATATTTTGTAAACAATCAATTTTCATGATAATATAAAAATATTGATTGTTTTTGTTATTGAAAAACTAAATTTAAGAAGAAAAAAAAATAGAATAAATGGTACATGATTAATTTATATTTTATGTACCTAACTACATACATGAACATTGTAATAAATCTCTAATGACATTGAATAATATTTTCAAAAATTTTTGCTAGACTTTTTCAATAAATCTCAAGATAATCTAAAATAAATATTGTTATAATTTGCGTGAATAGAAATATATACGTAATAATTTATAAAAATGTAAGATGTCCATATTACAAATAAACAAAAATTCCAGAATAGCCAAGAAGTTATAGATTTCTTTAATCCGAATTAAGGATTTGACCGCATGATAGTATGAGAATGCGATATGGATGTATGTCAACCTACATGCACCTTTATTTGAAATATGTAAATAGAATTTTAAAAAAATTTTATTAATTTTTTTTTATGTAAATTACTTTCCAACGATGGACAAGCTTCTCGTATTTCATACATTTTTCAAATAAATTTTGTTTTAATTTGCGCCTAAATAATAATACATATTATTAGGCGCAATTACTTCATTAAAATGTTCGTAAGCAAACAAAGTTTTTATGTATAAGTCCGATGATCGCATTGTAAGCGTATAAATGTTAGAACCATGATTTTAAACATTAGTTTATTTTTATATCCTGCACTTCATGAAGGGTATATTCACTTTGGTATGAAGTTTGTAACCACTCGAAGAAGTTGTCTCCGGTATGGACATATATATATATATATATATATATTGTTGCTCAGCGTAAAATTCTGCGTCGATTTAGACATGTCCGTCCGTCCGTCCGATTACACGATAACTCAAAAATGAATAATGCAATCGATACCAAACTTTCACAACGGCTGCTATTATAACTGGGCCGATTCTGGCAGCGGGTTCTGGTAGCTGCCATACAACTCAAAGAGTTTTTTTTAAATATTTCAAAAAGTAATAGAGATATTAATATCAAATTTTGCAAAGATATGTCCAATTATACTTCACATATATTCTAAAAATTTTAGTAGAATGGATGCACTGGTTCGGGTAGCTGCCATACAAGTCCGAAAGTTAATTTTAAATATTTGAAAAAATAATAAAGTTAGATTCATGAAACTCGGCAGTCGGTTGTCCAATTTTTGGTCAGATATATTTCTGAAGTTTTGGTGGAATGATTTTACACGTTCGGGTAGCTGCTGTACAACTCCGAAGGTTAATTTCGAATATTTGGAAAAATATTAAAGTTAGTTTCATGAAACTCGGTCGTCGTGTGCCCACTTATAGGTCAGACATCATATTCGTGATTTCTCTATCAGTATGACAGGTTCAAGTAATTGCCATTTAGCAGTCAAAGTTATTTCTAAATATTTCAAACACTAATTTTTAAACTCAGATTGCCAAAATACAGGGTATTATTCAGTCGGTTTATACCGAATAGTTTATAGTTTACAGTTTCAGTCGGTATAAACCGACTGAAACGTTTTTACTTGTTCAATATTGCTACAATATGGTTAAGTTGTACTTAGTATTGAACTTAAATATTTAAAATATAAGTGAATTTTTAATGTTAGTTACATATGTTGTTTCTTTTGGCATTGAAAGTTATTGTAAAATGTTTTCTTTAAAATATTTTCTGAGGAATTTCTGAGAAAATTTCCCAGAAATTAATGTTGCTATTTTGTATACCATGAAAATATTATGCATAGAATATTTTTTTTCTGAAAAAGAGTAAATTCAATAATAATAATAAAAAAACTTAAAATTAATTTAACTCATGTTTTAATATTAAAACCAATAGCTTGCATTATTCATTTATTATCATTAGAGATAATTGCTTTTATTAAAATTTCGTATAAAAAGTTTTTTGTTTTTCTTTTTTCA